CATTATTAACTCTAATTAAATAAGAAAAATCCTATATATAATCGGTCAAAGTGGATTTTAATGCTTAAATATCTCTGTGTAAATTTATATACATATTTAATTCCGCAAACTACATGCCGAAATCTTTTTAGTCTTGAAACGCAATTATAACCAGAACCAGAATAGTAATATCACTTATTAAATTGACAAGCAGTTTAATAGCGTTTTTATGCTAAGACGCTTTATTAAGAATATTAATAATTTGATGTTAATGAGAATTTTAAATTTGCAAATAATTTATTTAGCGGAAAATACTATCTCAGCCGGGGTTCAAATCCGTATCTTCCATATTCCGGACATCCTCACTATTTGAGCACTCTTTGTAATTATTACACGTTATTATTTTATATGTATTATATATATTATAATATTATATATTTATCTTGGTATTGGCAAGGTATCTTATGACTCACTCTTGATTATGTCAAATACTTTACAACCTTGTGGAAAAGTGCTACTGAGCTCAATAGTATTTTGAGACTGCATTACTGCACTACAATACTATTACGCAATACATTACTACTGTATTGTTGCGCACTACTGTATTGTTGCGCACTACTATACTATTGCTGTAATATAGTACAATAGTGCTTCAAAATACTGCTGCGTAGCAGTATTTTTCTACAAGAGAAATAAGCGTGTGGATTGTTTTTCTATCTCGAGCGAATTCGTGATTAATTAAATGCACGATTGTCCTGAAGTAATGATAACAAGCATAATAAATTTACATAGACGTATTGTATATTTCCGCGAGATATGCAAGATACAGTAGTATAACTCGGTTATTCACGAAACGGTCAATGATTTCTCGACTATGGGAAAATCGAGGTGATTGGATTAGTTCCAGAAAATATTTATTGTATCAGCTTGAAACCCGGGCAACGCGCGTTACAATAGCACTTTGTCTGATAATAGAGAGATTCGAATGTTGTTTACTTGCAATATTCTCCAATGAATCGTATATTTTGGTACTTACTTATATAATACATGACAATAAAATCCAACGTTCACAAAAGAATTTTGTTAAATATATGAAATACTTTTCACTATTATAACATACAATACTTTTTACGTCTCTTTACATCAGATCTAGTCAATTTGAACTCCGGAGCCAAAATGCAAAACCATTGACGCAAAAAAATTCAATGTGAATAAGATTTCGGGGACCATAAAGTATTGATACGTATCTGAGTGACGCTTATTAACAGTTTACAATCCCTGAAATCTTACATTGAATTTTTTTGCATCGATGGCTTTGCGTTTTGGCTTCGAAGCTCAAATTGGTCAGGTCTGCTTTATACACTAGAGGTAGAAGAGCAATGGTAATCGGGATAACCAAATCCCTTGAGTTAAATAATATTTCGTTATTTGTAACTTCCAAAATGTGTGTCAAAGTATAAATTAATTCATTTCTGTGGTTAGTTTCACAATGTAAACAACGTTTGTATTAATGTATGCGCTTAGTGAATAATCAACTAAATGTATTAAATTTGGGTTAAATTTAATACATTTTCTTGGCTGTAGTTACGTTGTTTAATGGAGTTAAATTGTTTAACTCTATTGTTTTAGTGAAATTATAATGACATTAAGTAAGAATATTAGCGATCTATAGAAATGATTAAAAAATAACTCAAATTGAATATAATTTCATATTATGAATTTAATAATGTATATTAATTTTGTAGATAATACGTGATATACTATACATGCAAATAATTTAATTATTGGTATTTACATATTTGCGCAGGTTCGTGCGCTTAACAGCGCGGTGGAGCGGCCCCAATGCCGGTCAGGAAGGGCCTCCTCGCTCCACAAAATACCTTCTTGGATACAATTGCGACTCGCTTCGATGGAACCCGTAAGTCTGTCTACTGCTCTGTATACACTTGTACCTTCGAACAGTTATAATATGATCAAACGCCGCTCGTGGGTGGATCAAATTTTGAAAAGATTTTGTCACGCCGAGGATCCATGTTAATTAACTCTTTCCTCTGCTCTTATTAATTTTCGTAAATTGCATTTTCGCTGTAAATATCAAACAATCTATACTATTCAACCTCGTCGTGGCACTGAACCTCGTTCGAGACTGAAATACACTTTCGACCGAAGAAGAATCTACCTTTTTAAATAAGTAAACTTTATCTACAAAAATTCTTTTAAAAGATTAAAAACGGTAGACTAGAGTACTGCGGGGACGCCAATGTCATCGCTTCTTTCGATTAACTTTGATCCCTCTTCATGAGGGTTGTGCTCCCCTAAGTCCACCCTGCATGTTGCTAGGGATACGGATAATGAAAAGGTTCTTCGTATTGCTTTAAGTTTAAATCGATTTTAACTCGGTTTTATGAAAACGTTCGAAATAAAATGTTTAGCGCGAGGAATAAGATGTAATGCATGAAATAAGATAAAATTATTAATACATCTCTCTCTCTCTCTCTCTCTCTCTGTCTTCTTTGCATAAACATCACGCTTTAAATCCATTCAGTTTCACGTTTCATCCATCGAGGCTTACCGTATATTGTTAGTCCCGACCGGGCCTATAATGCTAATGTCCCTGTATCACGCGGCTTTCCCTAATGCCTCAATGCGTGCATTGGCATTAACTGCGGAGACATTAACGATGCGAGAGGCGTAGGATGTCGGTACTGATAGGTAGTGCAGCTTCATAATTGTAATACACGTTGCAGCAGTCGGGCGCGAATAAATTGAGAGAAAATCTTAGAAATGTCCTTTTTTTCTTTATTAATCGGAGAGCCAGATTTTACGTTTAAAACTCGAGAGAGAAAGCTCAAGCTGTAAAACATAATGTCTCCTTCCGGACTTTCAGAGCCAACGGTTGTTGCAGTAAAACTGATTTTAGGAAAATCTCGAGAAATAATTTTCCCGAGATTTTCCTCACAGACTTTTCGTACTGATACAGCGTTGGCATTTTTGCACGCGATTGTAGCCATTCACGTATTTCACATCAATCATTTTGCTCACACAATATTTTTTTCTTATTCCGTAGAGCCACAAGTTAGTTAACGCCTAACTTTTATGTCTACATCAAAGTCAATGTAAAACTTTCATTTCTTCGAGCTAAGAGTAATCTAATTATAAGAAGTGGGCGACAGATCGCCAGCGTCGTCATCCTAAACGAATTGCAGATAGAATTGCATCTTTAATAAATATCGACGTCTTTTTTCTTTGTCAATGATACCGAGAAATCTTATTCGATGACTTTGCAAAAGGTTGCATGTTTAATTCAGTTTTTCACGGTATAATTACGGGCACGCGCATCTATTGATTAAACGTTCTCCACATTGTTGAAATCTATTCGTTTCTTTTATATATTTCCGTATCTCTTTGTATTGCACAATTTTTCTCTCTTTTGTTTATTCCAATTAAGATCTAGTCATTGCGCGTATTCTAGTCAATTATTTTTTGATTCCTTTGAGGTTTCCTCTTGTACACTCTTTGAAATTGAAAATATTTCGCATTGTGTTTCTCATTCTATTGTTATAGCGACGTATCATGGTACACGGTTTGCGTGCAGTTAGATAACCCCTCGCCAAGAACACCTGATAAAACTTGATGTCCGTCGACCCTCCGTCGCCGGCAAAGCATATAATATTAATTCAACATTGGCGCCATTGGCGAATCGATTTCGTTT